AAAATAAGAAAAATAAGTTAATTAAAACGCGATAAAATCCGTAAAAGTAGTTTTATTCAATGTGTAGTGTTCGCGTAAATGTAAGAAATCATTATAGAGATAATTTAACTTATGCCTGGTTCCTATATTCAAGAAACGTTTATTTCTCCGTAACGATCCGTTTTATTACATACAAAGTGCATGTACTCGGATAGTTAAACGTTCGAATAAATTGTTTGTAACAGTTTAAATTACAAACTATTTATTTAGTAACTTTGGATGAAAATTCTTTAAACGGTTTATAAATAGTTGCAACTGGTATTTGTTTTAAAAATGGGGTTTTCATGCATTTCATTAACTGTCAAACTGATTGTAAAAGAAAACGAAGCGTATTAAATATAGAAAGCCGACATTGATTATCACACTTGGCGGACGGTATAACGATCGCAGTACCACACGTCTTACACCTTTGACACTAATGGCCGTACCTACTTCTTCTTGTACTTTTCTTCTGCTGACTACCGAACCAGACAGATATGAAGTACAGGTTGCTTCTCCTTTGGGTACATCTGACCACTGTCTGGTGAAATTTGTATCGTCATATACTCCACCTGATTACGAGTTTCAAGGTGTTCGACGAATATGGCGGTATAAGTCAGCTGATTGGGATGAGATGCGACACTTTTTTGCATCTTATCCTTGGCGGGAGGTCTGTTTCTCTTCTGCGGATCCGTCGAGCTGCGCGGTTGCGATAACGGATGTGTTGCGTCAAGCTATGGAGTATTTTATCCCCTTCTCTGACGCTCCCACCGGTAGCAAAAGCTCGCCCATGGTTTAACGCTGAATGCGCCCAAGCTGAAAAGCGCGCAAGCATTTAGCTTACCTATACTGGGTTGACGCTCAAAACCGCAAAGATATTAACTTCAAGAAGAGAACTTTCAACCACACCGCCAAGTCCTACAAAAAAGTATTACAGAAAGTTAGTCTCGATCGCATTAAACATATTGGCGCAAAACTCTCTGCCAGACCATCCGGCACTAGAGCTTTTTGGTCTCTCGCTAAAGCGGTCGAGACAAACTTCTGTCGGCATACACTGCCACCGTTGGTAAAACCGGATGGCACACTGGCGCATACGACTAAGGAGAAAACGGACTTGTTCGCGTCTCTCTTTGCCTACAATTCACGTTTGGACAGTGGCAACAACGTTCCACCAAAATTACCTCACTGCAGGACCTCTATGTCGGAGATTCGTATAACAAATAAGGAGGTTCTTAAAACCTTGCGGTGTCTAGACGTGAATAAAGCTAGTGGACTAGATGGTATACCAGCTATAGTTCTTAAGGCTTGTGCACCTGAGTTGCCTCCTGTGTTGACACGCTTGTTCCGCCTCTCATTTAGGACTGAAATAGTGCCAAAATCCTGGAAGCTGGCCAACGTGCAGCCTGTTCCAAAAAAAGGCAGTCGTGCCGACCCTGCCAATTATCGGCCATTCTCAATTACTAATATACTCTGCAAGATTATGGATCGTATATTGAATGCCCGCTTAATGGCATACCTAGAACAGAATGACCTCCTTAGTGACCGGCAATATGGGTTTCGCCGAAATCGGTCAGCTGGAAACGTTTTAGCGTATGCCACACACGTATAGGGCGAGGCACTCGAGAACAGTGGGGAAGCACTTGCTGTTTCCCTTGATGTCTCGAAGGCCTTTGACAGAGTTTGGCACACTAACCTTTTGGGTAAGCTTCCAGCATACGGCTTATCCCCTGGTCTGATTGAATGGGTAAAGGACTTTCTGAGTGAACGGTTTCTCCTGGTCGTCGTCGATGGCTGCTCATCCGATCCTATGGCGACTAACGCCGGTGTTTCTCAGGGGTCCGTTCTCTCCGCAATTTTCTTCCTGCTGCATATTAATGATCTGCTTATGCCCGGTATCTATGGGTATGCAGACCATAGCAAAGTTGTTGAGAGATTTCAACCAAGTCCTCTGGCCAGTCGGGATCAAATCTAGTCCGAAAGAGAAACTATGGTAGAGCGTGTGAATCTCACACGACAGGCAGTCTTGGAATTTGGCGATGCCAATCTTGTGAAGTTCAACGCCTCCAAAACCCAAGCGTGTCTCTTCACTGCAAAAAGGAGCCAGCTCACCCTGGCTCCTTCTTTCCGAAATATATCACTTAAATATACCGACCGCCTTCAGTTGTTAGGGCTTTAAATATCCTCAAATTTGAACTTCGGGCGGTTCATTGAGTCCAAGGCCAAAGCAGCTGCAAGGGAGCTGGGAGTCCTTGCAAAGGTGCGACGATACTTCACGCCGGGACAGCTGCTTACTTTATATAAAGCGCAAGTCCGGTCGTGCATGGAGTATTGCTGCCATATATGGACTGGTACTGCAAAATGCCACCTAGCAGCTTTGGACTCAATAGAAAGGCGTACTAAGAGGTTTATTGGTGACCCGAATTTGGTTAAAACCAATCTTACCAGCCTCGAACACAGACGTGTGAATGAGAGTGATAAGTTGTGAGAGTGGAATAAGTTGCCAGCATCTGTCTTTCCATCCGATTACAGTGTGGGTGTCTTCAAGGCAAGAGTGAATAGGCTTTTGTTAAGTCAGTGCGCTTCACCATCTTAGGCTACATCACCACTTATTATCAGGCGGGATTGTAGATAAGCGCTGGCTTAGTAGAATAAAAAAAAAACCTAGCCTGGATATTTTTCTGATACAAGTAAGAGTTATATCGCCGTTAATCAGAAGCTATAAGATTTTTGGACTATGTTAACAAAAGACACATATGTCATGATATAATATTATTTTTCTGTGATTCTATATCCATATTAAGCATATCTCAATTCCATTAATTTTCATCTAGTTACTAAACCATTATTTATACATATTTGCATTTGTTGAATGTATACTTCTCTAAAAAAAACACCCCTAAAACTTTTTTAAGCAGAAAGTTCTATATAATACACTTAATAGTCTTTTAATTTTATCTATAATATAAAAAAAAAATTACCAAATGATACCGTAATACAATGTATTGTTTTGTGAATGATTTTTAAAATCTTAAAAGAATGAGGAGGTTACCTGTGCATGTGAATTTTATAAATAAATTCGACTTGTGAAAATGAGGCAAACATTTATATATGCAATTTTAGATATATTTATAAATTATTTACTTTATACATAATATTAGTTCACGTTCAATTTTTTGTTTGTTTTTAAATATTTCATTACATCTTTCATATCATTTTATGATATTTTTGCGCTTACACAGTTCTTTTCTCTAGTTTTTATTTTCTTTCAAAATATCAGGATCTAAGAAATTATACAATTAATAAAATATCAAATACAAAGCTTGCAAAGTTATAAAATTCAGTCTCTACTATATAATATTCATTTTGCATAACAATTTCTTAATATTTTTTCTAAATATAAACAGTTTATTTCTAAAAAACTTTGAAACGAATTCTAAATATTTTCGCAAAGGCCTGGTTATCGTTACCAGCATCATTTGCGAAATTATCTGTATCGGTATCAATGGCGAAGACATCACTCACTTCGATTTGCCTTCGATATAGTCATTGAGACAGAATCGCTGAAGAACCTTAGCACTGTTTAATGACCATAATAGCATTCCCAACGAATAAGTCTAAATATGAACTATAATATAAGGCTAGCTGGTTATTGTTGGGAACACTACGCTCAAAGCTGCTAAGAAGTATGTTTAATCCGGAAAAATTTTGACTAGGCAAGTTCAAGTTCGACCAAGAGTTCAATCGACAAATGCAAATCAGCTGAGCAGCATTTGGGAGATTACGACACATCATATATAAAATAAAAAGTCACTCAGTGACGATAGGCAAGCATTATTCTTTCTGAGAATATCTGCAGTAAAACCAGAGCTACGGACATAGCCCAACGGATTAGCAAGTTGAAGTGACAAAGTAAGACGCAGGGAATAGAACACTCATGGTGCTTACTGTAGCAAAGTTTTCAAGTTATATTCAAAGACTTGTATACTAACTACAAGACGGGCTCTGCGGCCTTCATCAATTCTCCGTAACCCCTTTAGTTGACGGCGAGCGGGCGAGAATACTAGTTCTTTATTTTGTAAACCACGAACATTGTTTTCGACAATCTAACACTGATTTAATTGAATATGACTAAGAAAACGCTGTATGTATTTACGTGAGCACTAAATCTACGTGATTTGAAGTTTATTTCAGAGTAGTTGATACCCGCGACTTCATCCGCTTTGCTAGATATATTAAGAAAATACACATCACTGAACACGTAGTGCTTATAAAAATCGTTGTTTCTTAAAACTTTAATAACTTTATATTAAGTGAAGATATCGCAATATTTTTTAGGATAAGTGTCAAGTGTCTAAGCAATAAAACTTAGAAAGCCCATTTGAAATCCATCCAGTAGTTTTTCCGTGACGCGCGCACAACTGCAAACCTCTATCATGTTATTTAGATAGATAAGTATCTAACTTTATTTCGTATTTGCCTTAAAACAGTAAGTGTCGTTAATGAGAATTTTTATTCTGTTTTCTGTTTGACTAATTTATTGTGTCAGCTACCCGCCCGAGCCCGAGCACGAGCCCGCACCTATGATACAGTTCATGTTTTGAATTATCGATCTGCTTATATACATATTAAACATTATTGATGACATATTTTATTATTTTCATCTGTTCTCAATATAACTTGATCCTTTTCTTAGAAACTATGAATTCATTTAAATATTATACTTTGATACACAACACTTATAAAATTACAAAATGACTCGTATTTCTTAAATAAAATCATAAAAAGTGTAAGCTTGAGCATTTAAGAAGGCACTGCAAGAACCTTCCTATTATCCTAAATGGCTTTACATCTAAATTATTAATATAAATTATATATTAAATGGCCTATTATAGCTATATGCAGTGCAAATTTGTTTAAATATTCCACCACCACTACTTAAATAGGCAATGGTCATCTCAGTTTTTTATCTAACTTAGTACATCTCACAAATGCGAGTTCTCGAATTGACTTCTTATCGATCTATACTTTAAGCTCCAAGATTTGGTCGAGAAAGGTGGAATTTTCAAATCTGTATTGCCTTTGTTTACTCCGTTTACATCATTGTTTTCATCATCTTTGACTCCGTTCATAGTCGTTTCATCTTCGCCAACTTGAGTATTGACTGTGGTCACTATATCTGTGGCTGGTTGGATGATTCCTGTACTTACTTTTTCAGATTCATCATCACCGCCATGAATCAGCCTGTTTATAGGGAACTGAATAAAGTAGAAGACGAAGGATGACAGCCAAATTAGCAATTGGTATAAGCAAACTTGCCACCAAGTCATTACACCGAAGACTCTGTACAGCCATCTGTGAGTAAAGAAGTAAATCGAGTAGTACCTGCAAAAATAAAAATCCAATAAACAAAATTATCATTTTATATTTCACACAGTTCACCTGATGGTAAGTGGATGCTGTGGCCCATAGACATCTACATCTATCCTCAATTACGAATCAAAATGCAGTTGCGTTGTCACCCCTGAGAACTAAGACGGAATGTTTCGTATTCAGTAAAAAGGGTCTCCGGTTTTCTACACTATACGAAACTCAGTAACATTATGCTCAGTAATTTTACGCTGGTATTATGTGAGAGCGTGGTCCTTCCCTGGTACAACTATAATATAGCTGCAGCATCGCTCTACTATTGTCGTTCAGTTATAATAATTTACGTAAGTTTAAGTACGCAAGCATTGAGCCGTCGCAGGAGTTAAGGGGTTGCTATAAAATTCAAAGTACGCGAACAACCCGGGTAAATTCCCGGTGGCACCAATTAAATTGTTAATTGCAATTTTAGGTGCTGATTTACCATCTGCTTGGCGGTGAAGGACAACATCGTGAGGCAATTGAGGCAGTGAAGTTCTCCAACAATCATTGGGGCAGCGCTGCAGATATTTCCTTACTCTAAAATCCTGTCAGAAAATGAGAGCCTGTGCTCAGCAGGAGGACGTATATACTTTAACTTTTTAAGTATGTAAGATGTTATTAACTAGCTTCACCTGGGTGAGATCTATTGTTGTTGCCATTTAGATTTGTTGATATGATGATCAATGACCATTACATCCATCAATTTATTCAATTTACAAAAAACAAACTCCAAGTTATTAGGTGTACACCACTCTCATATACCATGAGATGGAAATCCGTCACGATCGAAGAAAAGCGCAAAATAAACGGCTTTACATGCTTTTCGATGCACGAATGTGGAACACTGCCAATCACGTGACTCCAGGATGCTACTCTGAACAGAAAAACCCAATACCTGATTTCTTGACCTGACACGGAACTCGAACACGGGACTTAATGATCACGGCCACTACACTAGTGAAGCAGTCGTGTAACAATGTTCACTACACCATATCATCCTGTTGATGTTGTAAGAGGCGACAGAGGGAAACTAAAACGGGACATGAATAGCAGCATGTCCCTGACAATAAAGATCTGCGTTAACTAACCCGAATGCCTAGCTTGACAAATATGGCAAAATTTCCTCTATGAGGCAGCCTGTGGGGAAGACCCTTGTTCAGCGGTGGACTTTGATAGGTTGTATTGAATAAAGGAATGTCATGTGTGTCCATGATAGTTCAGAAGTTAAGCACTCTTTGTAAATTTCACAGTACGCGAGCAGTTCAGTTCGAGTCCCGTCGATACCAATATTATTGAAAATTGCTGATTTAATCATTTCTTATGTTAACGCAGATACTACACTTTAAATAAAACTAATTTTACGGATTTTTATCGCGTTTAATTTAACTTTTAATTCCCTACGTTTCGGGTGGTTTACAGCACTTACGGTCACGGGGGGGGGGGGGGGGGGGCTGAGGTGTTTGACATCCCGATGTTATAGGAAGCCCGGCTACAGTCGGCTTTTGAATATTATTTTTTATTCCGATCCGATAATAATGTTAAATTAAACGCGGCGAAGTTCGTAAAATTAGTTTCACTTAATTGCTGATTTAACACGTGTATGGCTTTTAAGCGAAACCTCATGAGGAAATCAACATATGTGAAAGATAACAAATATTTCGAAGACATATAAGCCCCCCCCCCCCCCCCCCCAATAAGCGCTCCATCAGCTGTTATGAAGCAGTCGGATTGACTGCTCCATATCATTGCCAGAAATAAGGGGAGGCCTCGTCCCAAAAGTTGGACGTATTCAGACTGTAATTTTATATATCTGGCGTACAAATATTCAATATCAACTTCTCATTATATAATATAAATGGTTATTTTTCAAAGAGTATCCAAATTTTATATTTAAATTCAAATATATAAATAATGATATATAACGTTATTGCAATTTTTTTAATTATGAGTAAATAAGGCTTCTACTTTTGTTGGAAATTATCCGAAATTGAATGTGAGTTATGGGCAACAACTACGCGTACGCGCGTGTGTATCTACTAACATCAGTAGTGGTATTAAAGCTTTTTTTTTGTAGCTCTACATTTTACGTTCTTTTTTACGTTTTTATTATATACAACGTTTTTGCCGACCAAGCGACCCTTACGACTGTAGCATGCACAGTAAAATAGTAGGCGTTAGATATTTATGAATTACAATCAGTTAACATAATGCATTACCACGCATTCTGAATGTAAAAGATAATAAGATTGAATGTTTGAGATTTTTAAAATTTTTCTTATACACCATTTGCCTATATTATTTATTCTGAACCTTCTCTGCAAATTCGGGCATATGTTACAAAATAACACTATGTGTACAGGAGAACGTGCAGATACGTTTCGTCAAAAAGTAAAAAAAAAAGTACAACGATATTAATATTATAGTTTAAAATCAACTTTTAATAAAAAGTAAAAGCTGATATACTAACCAAATAGGGAATCAAGGTTTTATTGTAATCATTTAGGTTGACATTGAAATTGTTATAATACTTTTACCCTTTTGAGTCCATTGCGACATCGAGAATGTGATATTTTTAGTCCATTTAACAGCCGACTTAAAATATCTAAAATATATTTTATTGTTTTTTTACCATGAAGTCGGCTTTTGTGTACTTTATATTTAAAGTTAATATTTGTATATAAAAATCTATTGCTGTTCGTTAGTCTCGCTAAACTCTAAAATGGCTCTACTGATATTGATGAAAGTTTTTGTGTATGTTTGGTTGGGTCCCTGGATGGTTTACATCTACAAATGGAGTTACGAGTCGGTTAAAAGATCACAGTTAGAGAGAGAGAGAACAAGTCGGTCTGTTCTCGACGATTAGAAATAACCCGTGCAAAGCTAAGACGGATCGCTAGTATACAATAAAAACTGGATTCCCTATATTGCCATGTCATGAGTGGATTTTTTTTTCTTTAAATTTATATGGGACCCAAATAGGTTATACCACTATAGTACAACCTATTTAATACCAAAATAATCACAAATAACAGTTCACAATTGACAAAGATATCGCGTAACGTACAAAACAATTATATATAAAATATTTGTGCCACTTGCTGCAGAGACTATCGGTCCGTGTGGTCCACGTACGTTGAAGTTCCTAATCCGCGACTGGTCGTCGCTGCTGGTGATACGAAGGGAAGTATAGCCATTCAACGAGGAAACGCAGCCAGAATTATTGGCACGATACCACGGGGAGTAGGACTGTATGATAATTTAAGTTCTTTTAGTTTTTTTTATAATTGTATATTTTTCAATATTAAAATATAGATTATAAAAAAAATTCAATCGAATTGTAAACCTCTTCTTTTTTAGTGTTGGCTAAAAACATTCCAACACGCTTTGATTATGAGCTGTGATGATCATATTGAGAATACTAGATCATGTTCATGATAATATGTTCCCGCGTGATGTTAAAAACCCGCGTGAAAGAACATATAGGGGACTTGAAGCACCCACGTTCCGGGAAGTCTGCAGTGTGTGAACATGTTCAAGATCGTCCCCGCCATTACATTAGATTTGATAGACCACAAATCCTCGCAAAAGAAAACCGATTCCTACTAAGGATGAATCGCAAGGCTATTGAAATTAAAAAACATCCTAATTTCAATAGAGAAGATGGATGGGTGCTGCCATTTGCTTGGGATCCTATAATTAATAAAATTAAATCCAAACCCAAGTATACCACTGCAAGACTTCAAGATAATGTAAGCTCATTCTGCGTAGATCGAACCAAAAATTAATATTAAAAAACTAAAGGTAGCCGGACTAATTACATTACGTGAATGGGTGCTGTAAAGCACCTGAAACGTCTGGAATTAAAAAGTTAAATTAAACGCGATAAAATCCGTAAAAATTAGTTTCATTTAATCTATACAGGTCAAGTTAATAAAACGTGCTAAAAACCTTATTTTAAAGATTTATAGACCATTAAAAAACAAAGTTAAACTAAGAATTCTAAGCCATAGTGTATAGAAAATCTAAAGCCTCGACTTCAGAATGTAAAATTGTTTTATTCTTTTTAATTATTTGCATTCTTTTACTTTTTTAACCGACTTCAAAAAGGAGGAGGTACGTAATTCGACTGTATGTTTTTTTATGTGTAACCTCATTGCTTTTTTCTAAGTGAATCGATTTTGATGTTTCTTTTTATTTGAAATCTGGTGCTTCTCATGTGGTCCCATATAAATTTGATCAAGGTCTGACCAATACTTTTTGAGTTATCCCTAATATTTTATATAGAAATCGGTTGTACAAATTTTTTAATTTGTACCACTTGTTTATATTTGTTTATATTTCTGGTATTTGAAAGGGACGAAGAGAGAACGAAGTGTGAAATATGGGTAAATCAGGAATGTCTAGAACAGGTAAATGAAATTGTATACTTGGGGAGTGCTTTTAGCCGGGATGGAAGATGTGATTTAGATGTGGACAGGCGTGTCGCTGCCGGGAACAAAGTCAATGGTGCCCTGACTGCGTTTGTCAAAAGGCAAGGCGTAGTGAAGAGTGCATGCCTTGCAATACATAACGCAGTGTTGGTACCAACTTTTTTATATGGCAGCGAAACCTGGGTATGCCAGAAGAAGCATAAGAGCAAGTTGAATGCAGTGGAGATGCGATCTCTTCGTAAAATGTGCGGCGTTACCATGGCCGACCGAAAGCGAAACGAAGAGATTCGTAATATGGCAGGTTTAAAAGAAGACCTTATCACAAAAATTGATATGGGCGTGCTTCGATGGTTTGGGCACGTTGAGCGAATGAGTGAAGACCGAATAGTGAAGAAAATATATAACGCGAAATTTAATATTAAAAGGTGTCGAGGTAGACCGAGACTAACTTTCGAAGACCATGTGAGCAAACTGCTCGAAGAGGGGAGGGTCAAGAGTACTCGGATACCTAGACGTGCATGTATGAAGAAGATAATGAATCTGAAAGAAGCGAAAGAGGTATGTAAGTATCGTGACACTTGGCGATCTGTTCTCTCTGGCTACCCCGACAGGGATTGTGCGTGAAGATAAGTAAAGTAAGTAAGTACCACTTGTTTAAAGTATTTTTTACACTTTTGAATTGACCAAGGAATATTACAATCTCGCCCACAAGGTCGCCTAAACAGTTACATTAACGACAACACCTCCTGTTTTACCACTCTTGAGAATGGAATGTTTCTTCAATTTAATATGGAACGCCTCCAGAACCTATTTAATAAAAAACAGTCCTCAAAATAGAGCCACAATTGGCGAAGATATCGCGAAACATACATACAAAAAACAGTCGAATTGTAAACCTCCTCATTTTTTGCAGTCGGCTAAATTAAGTACAGGCTCAGCAGCTTAGTGTAAATTAGATAGTACGTAGGCAATCCGGGTTCGATTCCCGTCGACACCAATAAAATTGCTGATTTCAATTTTAAGTACTGATTTACCTTCTCGACGATAAAGGAAAACTTACGAAGAATAAAAAATTTCCTGTGAATTCTGCCAACTCACACTGAACATATTTTTTTTTATATAGGAGAGGGGGCTAACGAGCATGCGGCTCACCTGATGGTAAGTGACTACCGCCGCCCATGAACAACCGCAACACCAGGGGAATTGCAGATGCGTTGCCGGCCTTTTAAAAAGGAGTAGGCTCTTTTCTTGAAGGTCCCTAAGTCGTATCGGTCCGGAAAAATCGCTGGTGGTAAACTATTCCACAAGGAAGCTGTGCGAGGAAGAAAACATCTTCTAAATCGCACAGTAGTGGACCGCCAATCATCCAGATGGTGTGGATGGTATCGGGAGTTCGGCCGCGATGTGCGTTCGTGAAATTTGGCGGCTGGGATTAATCCGAACAATTCCACAGAACACTCCCCATGGTAAATGTGAAAGAAAATGCAAAGAGATGCAACATCTCTTCGCAGTGCCAATGAGTCGAGCCGATCGGAAAGGACTCGGTCGTCGACGATTCGAGCCACTCTGCGCTGGATGCGGTCAAATGGAAGGAGCTGGCACTGGGGAGCCCCAGCCCAGAGATGGGAACAGTATTTCATGTGAGGCCGAACCTGCGCCTTGTAAAGTTGCAGGCGTTGAGCTGGCATGAAATACTGTCCCGCTCTGCTGAGCACGCTAAGCTTTTTAGAGGCCAATTTGGCCTTCTCATCCAAGTGACCACGAAACTGCACGTCACTCGATATGTCGACGCCGAGGATTCCGATACTGGCTGAGGCAACAAGGAGAGTATCTTGAAACTGAGGAGATACGACAAAGGGGTTCTTTTTAGCGGTAAACGCGCAAACTTGTGTCTTCTGAGGATTAAACTGGACAAGATTTAGTCGCCCCCAATCCGAGACTTTGTCCAGCAAAGACTCGACTTCAGACACAAGTTTGTTCCGGTACTCGGCGACGTTTTCCCGAGAAATATTGGCCCGGCCGGTGTATAGAGCATCACCAGTGCTGTCATCCGCATAGCAATGAATGTTACCAGTTAGCAACATATCATTAATATGCAGAAGAAACAGCGTTGGTGATAGCACACAGCCTTGTGGAACACCAGCGTTAATAGGCTTGTAGTCAGAACATGCACCGTCTACAACGACCTTGATGCTCCAATCTGCAAGGAAGCTGGTGATCCAATTGCACAATTTCTCGGGAAGCCCATAGGAAGGGAGCTTCGAAAGAAGCGCTTTGTGCCAAACCCGATCGAAGGCCTTCGCAATGTCCAGACTAACGGCCAACGCCTCCCCCTTGGACTCTACTGCCTCCGCCCATCTATGGGTCAGGTAGACCAGAAGATCACCAGCTGATCGACCCCGACGAAAACCGTATTGGCGGTCACTAATCAGCTGGTGATCCTCAAGGTACCGGATGAGCTGGCAGTTAATAATGGATTCCATTATTTTGGAGAACAAGGAGGTGATCGCGATAGGCCTATAGTTGGACGGGTCTGAGCGGTCGCCTTTTTTAGGGATCGGGTGGACAAAAGCTGTCTTCCATGAATTCAGAACTACGCCTTGGGAGTAGGAGTACCGGAAAAGACGCGTTAGGACCGGTGCCAACTCCGGAGCACACGTCCACAACACAATTGGGGGGATTCCGTCAGGCCCACTCGACTTGTGGATGTCAAGGGGGAGGAGTGCTCTGCGAACCGAGCGCTGTGAGAACCGCACATCCGGCATGGAGCACTCACACCGCGGGATGGTCGGCGGTGTGTTCCCCCTGTCATCAACAGTCGAGTTGGACGCAAAAAGGGAGCCTAAAAGGTCGGCTTTCTCTTTTGCGTCGTGGGCCAGTGAGTCGTCCTCCCTGTGCAGAGATGGTAGTGATGGCTTACAGAAATTCCCTTGGACAGCCTTGGCGAAAGACCAGAATGCACGGGTTCCAGAAGGAAGGCGAACTAGTTTCTCGCCAATTCTGCCTATGTGCTCTGACTTTGCCTTGGCAATAACTCTTTTGAAGGACCTGGAGGCGAAGTTATACTTCTTTTTAAGTATGCTGGTTTTTACATCCCGAGTCGCCGAAGCCGCAGTCCAGGCTTGATAACACTCCTGCTTACTGCGTAAAGCAGTCTTACAGGAGCGACCAAACCAAGGCTGAGATCTGCCCCCGATGGGTACCACAGATGATGGAATAAATAGTTCCATTCCCTGTAGCACCACATCAGTGACAGAGTCAGCAACAGCGCTGGGATCATCCGGCGAGAAGCTGACCCGCCCCCATGGGTAGGAAGCAAAGAAAGACTACATTCCGTCCCAATCCGCCGACCTATAATGCCAAACACGGCGGCAACCAGCAGAACGCAACCGCGAGGGGAGCGTGAGTGGCACCACACTCCGGATCAGATAATGGTCCGAAGAGCCAAGAGGGGCATCGACGGAAATCTGATATCCGTCCGGATGAGAGGTCAGCAGAAGGTCCAACAGGGAAGGTGTATGATCCTCAGCATTTGGAATCCGCGTAGGCGATGTAACCAGTTGTGTCCGACCATATGCCAAGGCAAAGTCATAAACAGATCTCCCCGCATGATCGGTTAAACGTGAACCGAGCCATTCGGCGTAGTGGGCGTTAAAATCGCCAAGGATCACGATCTCTGCGGATGGGACCTCTTGTAGCAAGGAATCTGTAGCCATTTGGACGTGGTCGATGAGTCGGTCTGTTTCGGCATTACCGCTATGGGACCTATAGAGGCACATGTAGACGCGCGGATAGTCGTCGCTGTCTACGCGTAGCCAAAGGATGGACAAGTTCGAACCTTCAAGACTGCCGAGGCGTCGAGAACAGATGACCTCTCTGACATACACGCAAACTCTAGCCCGAGGCACAAAGGAGTGCTCCAATTTGTACCCCGGGTAGGAGAGATACGAAGTATCAGCCGGAGAGGACACCTGCGTCTCGGTCAGAAAGAGCAAGGCCAACTTCGCCATCTCGAGATGGTAGTGGACGGCGTTTAGGTTCGAGTGAAGTCCCCTGATGTTGCAGAAATTCACTGATAGCGTGGCAGGGGTTGCCTTGGTCTTGTTGCTCAGTTTGCCTCGAGCAGTTTTGTTTTTGAGCGGAATTTTGCCCCCCCCCCCAGAATACGCGGGGCAGCCTGAGCACCCACGCTCAGGATTGGAATAACATGGTCGTGGATGCTCAGCGAGGGATTCTCCAGGGGTACTGGTACCCTCCTGGGGTAGTCTATTGTCTAATTCCGCTACCATGTTGATGGGGGGGGGGGAATTGGGCCTCCGGTCACCTGCACTCACCAGACGAAACGCGGAAGCAGAGCTTCCACTTCACGCCGGTATTCTGTGAGGTCGTAGTACTCACCCGGCTCGACCCGGCCCATACGTGCAACAGCAAAAGCTGCTACGTGGCTCTACCACCATTAAACATATGTCCTTTATGGGCTGCAACTTTATTAAAATACCTTTTTTTTAATATTGTCTGTCTGACTAATTTTCGGATTGGCTAAACCGATTGTTACGAAACTTGACGAACAAAAATACACAGAAACTGACACACTGAAAACTGCATCTGTTGTTCGCCACGCCAAGTGCGACCCCTAACGTTCGGCAAAGTTTAATACTTTGTTATCAAAAACGTTCAAAATGAAAAAATTTTAGGTACAATATGACTTTGTGCCTATGTGGCGAAATAACTAGCGTAAAATAGCAGCTCAATGCTGCTGTTTCTTATGGTGAGTGTAGAGAACCGGATACCCTTTTTACTGGCATATAAGGCATTCCATCGTAGTCGTCAGGGGTGGCAACGCATCCACATTTTAATTCATAATCGAGGAAAGATGTAGATTTCTGTATACCACAACAACCACTTTTTTATAGAATTAGGGTGACAAACGATCGCACAGTCCATCTGATGGTAAGTAGTTGCTGTGGCCCATAGACAACTACATCTGTCTTCATTTACGAATTAAAATGCAGATGCGTTGTCAGCCGTGAGGCCTAAGATAGTCTGCCTCTTGTCCTGTAAAGTAGGTTTGCCATCAGGTAGGCTATGTGCTCGCTTGTCACCCCTTTTGTATTAAAAAATTTTTTTCTTTATTTTCCTTCCATGTATACTCTAATTTTATGATAATACTCACACAATCGCATATAAAATATCGATGACAATGACGAATGTAATTTCCCGTTTGAAATCTCTGGGTCTTCTCCTGGCCTGCAGCAAGGTTTCAATCAGGACCACAACAGAAATATTGGTGTGGACGCAATGGTTAAACCACCAAGGCACCACATCGTCATAGGCCTTCGGAAAGACCAACTCACGATCTACCGCGTACACGCACCAGAACATGGAAGAGACGAACTGGAAGAAAAAGAAAACAATTTATGATTCCATTCATTCATCCATCCGATACAAACTGTAAGTCCACTGCTGAGCATAGGCTGATCATAGATTGCCTCATAGTAGGGGGGAGGGGGGGATTTTTAGAGTTTTTATCAGGAAGATGCTGCTGCCAATACCCTGTTTCAGTTTCCCTCTGTCACCTCTTACGACACCCACGGGATGATATGGGGTAGTGGATATTCTTACACCGACACTACACGCGATAATTTATGATAAAAATTTTGTTTTTTGGAAAATTCTTGGAGCAATTGTAATATTGTGGCGTGCCTAATAGGTTAGGAGTACCTCTAACCAAACTTTTTAACCACGCTGTAGCCATACAGGTTGTAGCATCAATGGGTCGGCTCGACCGGGGAAGGACCACGTTCTCGCAGAATACCAGCGCAAAATAGCGGTTTAATGTTGCCGTGTTTCGTAAGATGAGTTTAGAGAACCTTTTTACTGGATACGAGTCATTTCATCTTAGTCCTCCGTGGTAACAACGCATCTGCATTTTGATTCTGAATCGAAGATAAATGTAAATGTCTATGAGCCACAGTATCCATTTACCATCAGGTAGACTGTGTGCTCGTTTGTCAACTTAATTCTATAAAAAAAAAACGAAGATTTCTTATATTTTACGCGAAGACTACACAGTAAATTAAACTAATTTTTACAGATTTTATCGCGTTTAATTTAACTTTTTAATTCCCGACGTTTCGGGTGCTTTACAGCTACCCGTGCTAACGGGGGGGACTGAGGTGTTTGACATCCCGATGTCATAGTTAGCCCGGCTACCTTCAGTTTTTGAATATTAATTTTTGGTCTGTGGAGATCGGACCGAAAATTAATATTCAAAAACTGAAGGTAGTAAGTTAGTTTCATTTAAAAACCGACGAGTATGTATGCGTCGATTTATGGACATTAAAGTAAAAGAGGTCTGTCAGGATCGTGCTAAATGGAAATCCGTAGTCGGTAGGCAGACACGTCGATAGGTCCCATTTGAAGGGTACAGAGAGTATAATTATATGCAATCATATTAGTCTTCGAGGTGACAACGCATCAATATGTTTTAATTAGGTAGGCTGTAAGTTTGTATGCTATATATACGTTTTATGAAGAATGTCATTCTAAATAATATCAAATAAAAAAAAAGAAATTTCCAATAAGCCACTTACCAGTGTAAAGGGTACAACAAGTCCAGAAAATATTACGTCACGCCAGTAGCGTAACCTGGACGCCAGGCTGTATTCATGCTTGTTGAGCCACTCTAAGATGTCATGTACCAGCGAGAGCGTGAGGAATATAGTTTGAAACGCCTGAAATAAAAGAAAATACAATTATTAATACGCTTAAATTAAATATAGAAAGGAATTAAAATTACAGACTATTATCACTATTATCATAAATAGGCACAGGCTTCCTGATTTTTTTTTAATATAGCTGCAGCGTGGCTCTGTACAACCACGTACAACGTTTTTGTTGAAGGAAGACCGTTTCGTTGAGGGGCGTGTAAAGAAATGATAAACTGACTCTATTGGGCCTACCAACATAAGGTGAGCTTATTTTTCAATAAGTATAGCCAAATATTTAAGTGTCAGCCTCAATTGAATTAATTGAAAATAAGTTTATATAGAACAGAGCTATTTGTGCCATATGATAAAGGACTCCTTTAGTAATGGTTTACAGTCCATTTTGGACATTTCTCCAAGAAACCTTTAACACCTTTGGCAAAATGAGCGAGATCCATAACATCAACATATTATGTAAAATAAATTAACTTGCGATAGCAAAGTACAGCCTTTACAAAATTAGCGTCTCATTTTTGGGTAAACGTACAACAATTTAGATCAAGACTTCTATGTAATTCCGATTTTCGTTTGCATAAATTGAAGCTCCATATAAAAAGCATTCCTGTGAAGCAAGGCTATTTCCGTGTAGTGGCTGTGTAAGAATATCCACTACTCCATATCATCCCGTGGGTGTCGTGAGAGGCGACAGAGGGAAACAGATCAGGAGAGGGGTAGCAGCGGTTTCCTAATGACGACTTCTGTGGTTACTAAATCTGCGGTTGCTATCCCACGTGGCAACTATGGTAAGTATCCGTCCTAATAGGCAATCTATGGGGGAGGCCTATGTTCAGCGGTGGACTTTAATAGGCTGTAACGGTAACGGTAAGTCATTATAAATTGGATAATTATTAAACGTATGGGTTGACTGGTGTTGATGCCTCAAGGCTGTCACCTTTCAGGCTAAGTACGCCCTTTATATAATATAATAATATAATATTCCACAACTATCACACAACGCCATCTAGTCCCAAGCTAAGCAGAGCTTGTGTTATGGGTACTAGACAACTGATAAACATACTTATATATTTCTAAATACATAAATATTATAGATAAATTACACCCAGACATAGAACAAATGATCGTGCTCATCACACAAACATTTGTCCTGGGTGGGAATCGAACCCACGACCTCCGGCATAGCAGTCAGGATCACTAACCACTAGACCAACAGGCCTGTCTAAATATTCTTTTATATTAAGGAATGCAATCAAGAATAAATAAATAAATAAGTAAATAAATAAGTGTCATCAAGCAGTGTCAAAAGAGCGATACTTCTGGTACTGCCATCGTCGATTCGCCTTTTTATTATAGAACTAGCTGTCCCCCGATATTTCGCCCGCGTGGAATTTACTACAATTTTATGGGTTTTAATTTTTTTACAATAAAACTACCCTAAGTTACTCCTTATAACGTCAGCTATTTGCCAGTGAAAGTCCCGTCAAAATCGGCCCTGCCGTTTCGGAGATTGGCGGGAACAAACAGACAGACAGACGGACAGACAAAAATTCTTAAAATCGTTTTTTTTTTGTTATACCATAATATGTACTTTCATATGCATTTAGTAAAAAGCTATTATTTTAAAATTACAAACAGACACTTCAATTTTATTTATTCGTATAGATAAGGGTGACAAACGAGCACACAGTCCACATGATGGTAAGTGCATACTGTGGCACATAGACATCTACGTCTATCCTCGATTTAGGATCAAAATGCAGACGCGATGTCACCCCTCATTACTAAGATGGAATGCATCGTTTTCAGTAAAAATGGGTCTCTGGTTCTCTACACTCACCATACGAAACACAGCAGCATTAAGCTGCTATTTTACGCTGGTATTCTGTGAGAGCGTGGTCCTACCTCGGTTGAGCTGACCCATTCGTGCTACAACCATAATATAGCTGCAGCGTGTCTCTACCACCTGTTAAGCGTGGCGATTAAACCAAATCCTACTTACAACCGAGGAGGCTATTTCTTTTCTTTTTTCTTTTATCCTTTTTTTTTCCAAAACTTTACCTCCACACTAGAATTTTCTCGTGTATCATGGGAGCAATTTACATACATAAATTTCACAAGGACAAACATCCAGACCCGGAACAAGTATTTGTAGGCCATACAAATTCTAGTATCGTGCTTGATTCGAACCATGCGGCTCGTAGCGCTGCAACTCATTGCTAAGCCACTGTACCACGAAGCCGTCAGTTGTCCATCAGTTGTCCTTTTCGGGCTGATGAAGATGAAGAAGATAAACAATATTCTCTAAATGCTATGCTATATCACAAAACGCAGGATGTATCTAAATGAGAAAAAACGCAGGAAGTGTCTGTGCGTACATTACTCTGTCATTCCTTATCTTTGTATTGTTGTTTATTTAATTTCACAATGAAATAAAACATATACATAAAACTATTCACAAATTAGCTCTAATGACTAGGGCTGTCGCCATTCAGGCAAAGTAGTTTAAATTGAGACGTGATTAAGCTGTTTAATTTTATATTTTGTTAATTTACTAAATATTGCCGCATTAGTGTAGTGGTCGTAAAAGCGGTTGTTGACCATGAGGTCCCGGGTTCCAATACCAGGTTGGGCCAAAATTTGTAATTGGGTTTCTCTGTCAAAAAGTTCTCAGTAGCAGTCGGTATATTAGTGGTGGTTCACCCCCGTGCCTCGGAATGATTTTGTAACAGATTTAGGCCCGACTCGGGATTTGTACCCGGGACCTCGTAATTGAAGACCACTAGAATAACGAGGCGGTCAAAAACATCGCATGTATCGAACAGACTAACAGAGGCAGCGAGTTTATTAACTATTCTTAGCTAGTGCTTGACTATTAATCCACCTGATGGTAAATGGTGATGCATCTTAACAAAACCTATTCATTCTTGCCTTGAATACACCCACATTGTAATCGGCTGAAAAGACAGATACTGGCAACTTATTCCACTTTCTTTTTCCTTTGCTGTACGCATGACCAACGATGAAGCGAACCATTTTGTTCGAATGCGCTGTACCTAAGTCGACAAAGAATGGGTGGTGAGTAAAAAACAAATAATAATTATACCACGTTCTTTAAATCGTAAGTCGTAATATCTTATCGTTTTTAAATTTTGTTCGTATATTTCATTTCCGGAAGTTGATAACCCTTGTTATATGTAAAGCATGCGACACACGCACGATTTGTCTGCCACAATGTCTGCCCTTTGGCCAGTCGTCGACCTAATAGATAATTATAGTATATCTTTATTACCTAACACGTGGGTTAGTATGCTTTGGTCTATAACGTAAATCTTTATATATATATATGTCATGGAACAAGTGATTATCTAGTAATAAGTAATGAATAATTAAATTGACCGGGCAATAAAGGCCGTTTACTTTATAATCGAACGATTAATTTTTTATTTATTTATAGATTTATAGATAACATTATAGTATGATTTATTTATTTTTAATTTAAATAATTAATAAGTTAATAAAACATTTGCATAAAATAACGTATATATATACTTTGATACTTATCCGTATGATTCGGCTTAATTGTAATATCAGTGACAATAGGTTAAAATGCGGCTGGGTTGACCTTTGGGTCACCCTAAAGCCGCGTATATACATTATAATGATATAATATTTAACCATAAATAAATTAATATAATATTGAAAGAATTTAATTTTTTATTTTAAATATTTTCGGACGATTAAGTATGTTTTATTTATACGAATATCGTATGATTAGCAAATTATTTTTTAACTTTTTTTTTTACATTAATAACTTATTGTCTCAAAAGTGAGGTTGATTAAGTTAGGTTATAATAGGCATTTTCCTATGGAGCAGTACTGGCCATTTCAATTCAAAATAATTTTTGTTTGACTAAGATTTCTACTTTAAAATTAATTTCCTTTGAAAAACATGTAATTCTTTTTTCAAAATGAATCATTTATTTATTGATTAGCGTTATGTTTTCATCGCATTTTAATATATTTCGTCATAATGGCTATTTTAAAAATTCGAATAATTACGGAATATGAGTACCTCCGTGGTAGCAACGCGGCACAAGCGGCACGCAATATCAGCGACGTTTACGGAGCGAATACCGTTCTGCAAATTTTGACCTAAAAATGAACCCCGTGGTCGTCCGAAAATTGGAAGATTGTTGAAGCTGATGATAGTCAATCCACCGCTAAATTAGCAGCAGATTTCAACGTTAGCATTAGAAAAATATTGGTCCATTTGCGTCAAATTAGCAAGTTAAAAAAGCTTGACAAATGGCTGCCCCGCGAACTTAATGATCGCCAGGGCCGACGTGCCTTGCACTGCTCAACAGGCACACAAACGAAGGAATTTCTACCCGCGACGAAAAATGGATTCCGTTTGACAATCGCAAGCGGTCTGCGAGTTTGTTTAGATCCTGGTTCAACACCTAAACAATGTCCTAAACGAAAACTTACCTCTAGAAAAGTGATGGTCACTGTTTAGTGGCCTAGCGCCGGTGCGATTCATCACAGCTTCTTACCAAACGGGATGAGTATTACTGCAGATGTGTACTGTGAAGAACTGGACACAATGATGGAGAAGCTCGCACGTCTCCAACCAGCTTTGGTCAATCGCTCGTCCCCGCTGCTCCTGCATGACAACGCGCGACCTCATACGGCACAGACTATCTCCAAGTTACAAGAGGTGGGGTTAGAAGCTCTCCATCATCCGTCGTACTCACCAGACCTTGCACGTACAGACTTCTACTTTTTCCAGAATTTGGATAAGTTTTTGGCGGTAAAAAAATTCAATACCCGAGAGGCAGTACAAAATTCCTTTGAAGAAATTGTTGCAACAAATTCGCTGATTTCTTCAAGAATGGCATCAAAAAGCTGCCACTCCGTTAACCAAGATGCACCAATTGCATGGGTGATTACTTTGATTAATAGAGGTAAAATATATTGAAAAAAAAAATTACGTTAACTTATTTCATAAA